TTTTTTATTAATTTTTATTGTTAAGAGAAGCCAATTTATTGTTAAGAGAAGGTTCTTATGAAAGAAAATTTTAAACAAGTAATTTTAGTATTAAGTCTGAAAAAAGCAACAAAGAAAATACTTGGATAGGGTTAAAAATTAAACTTTACTAATTTAATATTCCATAGCTTTTAGTAACTAACTATAATAATAAGCACTTCTAACCTAACCTACAATTGCTAACAACCCCAAAACAAAACGTATCAATCTAAATGGAATTTAAAGTGAGGGGCAATTTTGAAAATTCGTCCAAACAATGCGATTGAGTCGCCATTTTATCTTGTAGTGATAAACTGACTTCATATAACAAATGGACAAGTTAGATACAGATCGAATTCAAGTACAGTCAACGTCAAAATAACAAGGAATAGTCGGTGCATGTGATGTGACGCCCATTTTTTTGTTTACAGGTGTTTTTTCGTTAATGTTTTTTTTTTTGTTCTAAGTCGGCAAACGAGCTGAGGGGAAAAAAGCAGACGGATTGACTGATGGTAAGCAATCGAAGCCGCTCATAGACACCCGCAACACTAAAGGAGTGCGTTGCCGGCCTTTTGGGGATATGGGTTTCGGATATTTATGGATTGGGAAGGGATGGGAAAATGGGGAGGGATTGGGCCTCCGATAATCTCACGCACATTTCAAAACATAACACTGTTTTCTGTAAGGCCGTGGTATCACTTCAGTTGAGTCGACTCATTCGTGCAGTAAGTAGAATAAAGAGACGTGTGATGACGCGATAAATGTCATTCTTACTTTATTATTAGAACCTGTCGCCATATCGATATTACCAACTCTACAAAATTGTCTAAACTCAGGAATTAAACCATGTTCGGCACCCTTTTATAAGTCTTCTAAACAAGCAATTCTATTTTATTCAAAATGTTTACAAATATCCATTTGTCAATTTTCGAGTTTAAGTAGTTATCTAGTCATTTGTTGTTGGCGGTGACTGTACCTTTAGTTATTGGACAATCGTGTGCACGAGTGACTACCCATTTACCTAATAACTGCCGTAACAAGTGGTGTAGGGTGACCATACGCTAACATGTAAATAAAATACTCAAAATGGTAGTTTCTAATTAGTCAAATTCAATATAATCATCATACACCTTGGTTGGTAATTCTCAAGTTTTTATGCTTGAGAACCTTACATCAATAGCGACCCAAATAAAATAAATGCGTTATATTACGAAAGTATTCTATTAATTGTTTTATATGGATACACATAGCAAATATCATTTTTGTTATTCCTAAAATCCCCCGCCGCAACTTCCAAAACCGTGTAAGCTAGGATCTACAGAAGATACAACCATGAGAACACCGGCACAGTGAAGTCCAGCGCATCTCAGGGACATAAATGACCGTCTTGGATCCCACAACGATATAAATCAGAAGATATTATTAGAAGACAAGAAAAAACGAAATACCAAACTATATAACCAGTTTAAATTGACCTTTGAATACGTTGATACGTCATACAATACGCGACCATGATAAACTGTTTTTTTTATATAGCCTGACTAATAAAATTAATGCCTAGAAATAAAGTACAAAGTACATTACACCAGCTTACACTGCAATTAATTGTTTTTAAACTATTTACTTAACTAGAAATTCAATGAATAACTTTATTATGTTACTTAATACTTATTCAAAACAAATGATATCATAGAAAATACTCGAATATAATAAATTCAGAGTAAAGTCTACTAATACAGTAATTTTATCTTTAGTACCTTTTTTTGTGAAGAGAAAATCATCAAATGACTTCTTCAAGCGGGCAAGCGCGTATGAGGCACTGCGACCTCGGCCCAGAGCAGGAGAAGGAACGGGGGCGTTTTTAGTCAGTAAGAGTCTGACACTCCCTCCCGCCGTACCCTGGGGGGGATTTGATGATTTTCCCCTCACAAAAACAGAATTGTCAGTAGAGGTCAGGCCAATAGTACTATTTGAGGCACACGGATGAAGATGTGGGCGTAACCTTCGGGACACCGCGACGTTACATTTCGATTGCTTACCATCAGATAATCCGTCAGCTAGTTTTAATCACAATTTTCATATTTTTAGTTAATTCAAACACAACATAACTCATTTTCTATCGACCACCAAACGAATTTGATCTTTAAGTACTTATGAGATAGGTATAATATGTAATTTTATTACTTATCTTTATAACCTAGAGTTTATTCCAAAGCCAATGTCAAAACTGTTTAGCTACCACGTAGAGATAAGGATGACGCGTATTGATAATGTTGATAAGAAACGTTTTTACAATAACTGATCCATTGCTCGCTTACATCTAACTTGTACCTCCGCCACAAATGATTACCGAGTAATGTATACTGAATTGAGGGTGAAACAGATGCCATTTTTTGTGAAGCGTCAATAATATTATGATAATGGTGTTTGCATAATTATTCATAACTGTGGTGTGATGTGTATCTCTACATAGATATATTTATGTGTAAATATATGCATAGATGCGTAATATTTGTTTAAATGGTCTTATGGAAATGTGCAAGACCGAATTCCTTTAGTTGCAAAATTATATTAATGATCAGCTTGATGACAATTCATATGAAAGTATCGTGTTGGAAGCCACGTACCTAGCTCGAAATGAAGTTGTGTCATTAATTTGCGATTATTTCCGATTTTAAGTTCAATTCAAATTCCGATTTTAAGTTTTAACCACATAGGGGTCAAAATGCCTTTTACAGTTTCAATGCCTTTAAATTCATTATTAAAACGATGACTAGAATGCACGACACGACTACACGGTTGGCGCGGTGGCTGGGAAACCGACTGCAGAGCAACTGGTCGCGGGTTTTATTCCCACACATAAAAACTCTTTGTGTGATCCACAAATTGTTGTTTTCGGTCTCAGTGTGATTTGTATGTGAAATTGTATGTTTGAAGACGTATCCACGTCACAGAAGAAAATACCTACTAGTGCGGGGTAACGTTTTTTTTAATAAAAAAGTCAATAAGTAAAGGTTCCTATTGAGAGAATGAGTATATCATGAATAATGAAAAATAATGTCAATCAATCTTAATAATATCGTAGTAAATTTTTTTGATTCTTTTCGATTATATGATTAGCTAGTTTCTTGGGTTGAAATATAAAGTCAATATTAAAATACTTTAACTCATTGATTTGGAAATATAATTATTACGTTCTTTCTAGCTACTAATTCTTCAGAAATAAATATGCTATTTGTACGTTACAACATTATGACGTCATATATGTATATTGATCACAAAAAAAAACAAAAGAAAAATGCACAAGACATTTCAATAAACGTATTGCATTTTACTATATAGCTTATTATACAAACTGACTAATCAACAGAAACTCATTTCACCAACAAACACGGACCAATTCTAAATCCCTTATTAAAATAACCATGACATCTGAACACGAATTACCCTGACCTAAACCACACCTCCATCTTTGAATTAATCATCCCGGATATCCGGCATTAACAAGGCAGCCCAGACACAGACGGTTAATCCCTTGCATAAAAACGTCTGCAACTTAAGGATCTTGCAAAATGACGTAAAATCAAAAGAGGTTAGGTAAGTTGCGCAAGAGTGCAAGAATTGAAGGCTTCTGGGGATTTACATGAGGTGAAAGATGTGAAAGTGAATCGCGAATTGGAACGAGGTTTCGATAAAATTGTTGTTATTTAGGCTGTGATTACTATCACGTGGTTTATTGTACGTCGTATTCCATGGTTATGTAAGTACGTGTGAGAATTTGTCTAATGAAATAAGTGGAACCCATTTTTATGGGTGCTGTGTTTTGTTGAATTGTGAAAGTTTTCTGAGACTTTTAGACGAAATTTTTGTTCGATAGCAAGACCATGTTGTATATAAAAGACTAGCTACTCCCGCGCGTTTTCGCGCGGGGCCTATAGCACTCGGGAATTATTGTACCTCTCAATAAGTGAAAGAATGTTGGGAATTGGACCTGTGGTTCCAAAGATTACCCCTACATACAAACTTACAAACATACAAATTTACAAATTTTACCTCTTTGTAATATTATAGTAAGTAGGTATAGATTATCCAACAGCTTCCATATGCAAGTATTTATGCAACTAGAGTTGCCAATTATAGGATAACCAACATTATTTAAATACAAATGAAAACGCATATATTACATATAACATTATGAGATGTAATTAATAAACTATAAAAAATACAAATCATATAGTACTAAAATGATTCAAAAGAGACATATAATCTAAAACAATTTAATTTAAAATTAAAAAAAAATATCAAAATAGAATAGTTTAATTAGCTTAGGCTGCCTTTCCTTATTTTGTTCAGTTTTTTTTGTATTATTAGTACCTAGGTACGTATAAATCTTGACCTGAATTAGTATATGATTTAAACTTGAACTTTAGCGTATAGTTCAAGATAGTCATAATAGGTAAAGTAATGAGATTTTCAAGTGTGAGTGTGATGGAACTTGGACTCTTAGCGCATGTCCAGGAAGAGGGAGGGAGAGGATTCAGTCATACGGTGGCCGTGGTATCACTCCGATCGAGCCGACCCATTCGTGCCGAGCACAGCTCTCCCACACAATACGGTAGTTTCCAACTACATAGTCAAATTCAATACTTTTATCCAAATGTCAAAAACAATACTTTTCTATGTGTATGAAACACTGAGTCATGACGTCATAGTATTATTGCGTCAAATAGCTTACTTATTTCTGAATAATTTGCTAAAAAATATCTAAAACTTAGTGTCTCGATCGATCGATGAATAAAAGTAAGTATAGTTATTTTTCAATATTTTATTGTAGGTATTGAAACGTCAAATTAATTTACTTTTGACCTAGAAAACTACCCAATTGCTTTGTATCAAATTCCAACATTAACCCAATGACCTTTTACTATCTATAGAGGCAGAACGTATTTCAACCATGACCACTATTTTATCTCAGTTCTCGTGATCTATCAATTTCGTGGGATTTCCCGAGCCCACGTGTTTGAACGTACTTATGGAGTGTTAGGATCGGATCTAACCACGATGTTTTAAAGTGATTCAATTGATATCTATTCTGGAATTACTTAAATTAACACGAGTAATTGTACGAAGACATCTGTCAACGTTGGACTCGCGACTTTTAGGGCTGTTTTTCCAATGTTTAGATAAAAGTTACCTGCGGGATTATGGTGCTGTCGCGTCAGAATGTTTGTATAAGACAGTGACAGCAACAATTTTATTTCTCAGATAACATTTATCTTACTATTAAAAAATCAGCCCTGAAAGAGATAAAAAAATGTAAGTACAATTATTTAGTAGGAAATAACCGAATAATATTAACATTCTTATTTTAATTCAAGAATAAGAAAGACCTTCTCTGGTCTGATCTGACCTAACTGCGTCTCGTCTAACTGAAATGAAATAGATAAAATCGTTATATGAATAGATATGAAGGCACTGGGGGGTTGGTACAAACATCAACATCCCGATCATCGTCTTCACAGTCCACCGCAGGGCGTAGGATTTTATAATCAGACCGAATAAATTGCAAAAATAACGGACGTCGGCGATTCGTCTCCTATGACACCCTCGTCCGATAAATTGTGATAAAACCTCCTTCAAAATTCAATTCAAATAATCGTCCCTCCGACAGATACATTCATTTGTTATTACTTTTAAATTGAAGTGCTCTATGTTTAGCCAGTTTTGGGCATATAGTACATCATAATCTTTTATACACTCGTTATAAATTGTACTGGTATTTTCGATTTCAATAGCTTGGCTTCGGCACAGTATAAATATCATACAGTATTGTAACTCGGCCGCTTGAAAGAAATAAATACCTACAGCCGCGCGGTACGAAAACATGCGTTAGGGCTGCTCGTCTCCAGTATTTTAATTACCTTTGTCTACTTTCTGTTTCCATTTAGTTTTGTGATTGTAAATATCCTTTTTTTATATAAACAAATAAAGTGCTTTAAAAATAAACAAACGAAATTTCTTTGGCTACTAATGCCGAACTGAACAGCTGACTACGAATGTTCTAAAATCACAACCCTCAAACATCAAAATATTACATGAGTCTAGCTGTTTTATTGTTGTTATTAAATATTTTCTAGTATTATTCATAAACGCAGATAATAAACAAATATTATTAATAATAAAATACCACACTCTCTACTTTGAATTATACAAACTAACAAAACATACATGAACCGTTTTAACACAAGCGTAAGTAGGTAGGTACCTAACGTATCATGATTCATTCAGAACCAGAACCGCCTATAACTACCTATTTCACTCGTCTCAATAACTTTATTCATATTATTTATAAATTCAAACATCTGTTTTCGTGAGATAACTGGAAATAATGATCCATAAAGACACACATTATGTACCTACCTAGGCTACTAGTAAGTAAAATTATTTTATAGTCTTACCTTTCAGAGTTTCCAGGTAATTTAAAAAAAAACTTATGTCTGGATGCGTTATTGACGAATTCATGCAACCAAACATAACAACAGCACAATATTTCCTATTCGTCATATTAAATAATGTACTCGAGCTGATTTCTAAATAAAAGACAACACACCGTCCGTTCGTCACTGCGGTACAGCCGCGTCTGTCTGCGTCCCGAGCGCGTCCCACATCGGGCGCGTAGGTATAGTTCGCGTTTCGGCCGTTTCTATGAAGTTGAAATACTTGTAGATATTATTACCTTGGCTTCGGTGCTGATAGTTTATGATCGGGTGATTCTTCTCGTGTTCAGCTTTATCTTATGATCATCTCACGATTGCCTCCTTCGACGGCTGGGGCGTGAGGAGGAAATTTCCCTTATGCACTACGCCTTCTTCTTCGCGAATTTAAATGCTTCGCAGAAAGAGCAGCTGCTTCGACAGTTTCCTCTCGTTTTTCGAGAGTTACTCTCCCTCCAAGCCATTGCCTAGGTATCTCTTTTAAATTTAAGAAAATTTTAAATGTTACTTACCTATATCAATTACTGTTAAGTTCAAATAATTTATTAATTTAATTAAATATTTGTAAACACACCAACGCAGCAGAAACACCTTCTGTGTCCGTGTTCATACCCTAATCGAGGACAATTCTCGTTTTAAATCCAATATCTTTAAATGGAAAGTCTCACTGCAGTTCCAAACTGAGACCACCCCAAACGTTGTCACAGCACTAACTTTACACTAATTATAGTAAATGTGTTAACTATAGTGGTTAAATTGACGTTAGTCACGTGATGGCGTTATATGTACAAACTGACCGATCCATTTTTTCATATGATTGATTGAACTTTTTGAATGAGCGATTGGAATGCAAAACGGATGGATAAATTGACAAGGCTAAATTGTTGTACCTAATCTATATTTTCTTTTTTGGGGGGAAAAATCTTCAAATGACTTCTCTCGCCCCGGGAAGCGAGAAGGAGTGTCAGACTCTTACTGACTAAAAACTCTACCATTCCTTCTCTTGCTCTAGGCCGAGGCCGCGGAATTATTGCGAGTGCCCCGCAATCTGGCTTACCTAATCCATACTGAGAGAGGTATCTAAAAGGGCAGCTAGAGGACTTTGTTTAGGTTTATCGGGTAAACCATCTGCAATACTGCGTATATCGTCAGCATACGCAATTAGATCGTAAAGAGATATTATTATTAATAGTTTATATACTGCATACAAATAGTATTTCCACTACATACTTACATAAAACTAGCTGAAACTCGTTCTTATTCAGAAGCACCATCAACGGCAACGCGGAGATCGTCGCTAGTTGGGAAAAACATGTTCGATTTTATCTATTTCAAATACTTACTTAAATATTTATCTTTTATTTGATCTTCACCGTCCTTCCAAATATAAATAAAAGGTTAATGACACTTTGACATTATCAAAATTTTTCAATTGTTTGCCTATTTTAATTTAATCAAACTGGCAGTTGCTTGATTAATTGCACTTATCACTAGAATCACAGAGCCCATCTGCAGTAGTCAGTCGAATATCAGACCGCCCAGAGTCAGATACAGAAGTCATTTGATAACATTTCCCCTTCAAAAAATAAGGTAGCAGCTAGGTGATAAATGCAATTCATTTCTTATCACTAATTGCACATCAGGATCTGATGAAATTTAGATTCGACTAGCTACCATTACCGCTAGTTTGACCCTGCTCGGCTCCATTTGATCATAGCGTGATGTTTTATAGCCTATAGAACTCAGGAACATTGTAGCTATCTATCAGTGAAAGAATTTTGGCAATCCAATTAGATTACCCCCTACATACAAACTTATAAACTTACAAATTTTACCTCATTATAACATTAGTATAGAAAACAGAACTCCATAGTAGTAATTTTACCTTTATAAGGTGCACTTCAAGCTATTCAAAGTCATTATATCTTGGTCTCGCTTTGTACGATCTTCTCCTTTGTTTATCGTTCAATTTATACTGGATCATGTATTTTGATGTAAACAACTATGTGTAGAGCATGTGTAGAAGGATAAAGAACGGGAGGTTTTGTAGTAAGTAAGACCCAGTCTCTTTTTTTATAATTATTTAGACACCACTGGCATACGGTGAAGGTAAACATCGTGAGGAAATCTGGACTTATAATTTCTAATTATAAGTTTGAAATCCCCAACCCGCATTGAGCAAGCGTGGGGATTAATGCTCAAACCTTCTCCGTGTGAGAAGAGGCCTTTGCTCAGCAGTGGGCACTTACATATAGGCTGATGATGATGATGATGAAGACTCTGTCTCCAACACAATTCAACCCGGGGGAAGTAATAAGATGATTTTCTTTCTCAAAGAAACATAATCCATCAGGGATTAGGAGGTGTGACAACACGTGCAGTTTTCAGAAGAAGTTATTATGTTTTTTTTGTCCACTCGCGGTTAAACCCGGCCCAAGAGGGAGACGACGATTTGACGAATCGTAAATCGTAACGAATTTAAGATTTGCGACGCAATGCGCAAATCTTATCTGCTATTTGATACAGATTTGTATATGGCATTAATTGGGCCATAATTATGAGACTGATATAAACACAAAAGGTGGTTGTTTACAAAGAATTATGTTACCTACATAAACTACTTTTACATAATAGAAACACAAAAGATAATTGGTATCATTTTAAAAACAAACCCACTGTATACTATATTAGAGGCACTTCGAGGTGACCTGTACTAGTAAATTATACCGTTAGATAAGCCACATTGCTGTTTTTATCTCTTAACAGTGTAGGCAGAGAAATAAAATATGTATGTATTCTTAATATAAAAAACTTCTTTTATAGGTAGGTAATATATACAACAATGAATCGACTAGATAAATTTTCCAATTTGCTAATTAATTTCAACCGGAGAAATGTTGTCAATTCGACAGCATATTATTATAATGTTGTCAGGAGAAGGTTCTTACAAAGATAAAATTGGAAAAAATAAACCTTTCATCATTATCGAGGTAATTGACGACGGACGGGACGGGCCACTAGTAATCACTTAGTATAAAACAAAGTCTTTCTCAATCCCTATATTCTAATGTATGCTCGAGACTGCACGGTTGGCGCGGTGACTGGGCAACTGGCTTCCGCGCGACGTCGCTGGTCCATTCCCGCACGGAACAACTCTTTGTGTGAATCACAAATTGTTGTTCCGGGTCTGGGTGTGATGTGTGTGTGAAATTGTATGTTTGTAAACGCACCTACGACACAGGAGAAAATCAAAGTGTAGGGCAACGTTTTAAAAAAAAAAGAAAAAGAAAGAAAGGAGGAACCTTTTTTAGGTTTTTTTTAATAAACAGTGTGATTGAAGAGAAACGTTTGTTTGTATAATAACATCCAATAAATAGTTGAGAAATTTAGTATCAGCGTTATAACCGTGCGACGCCGTGGCGGGTCGACAGTATTTATATAAAATTATCGAACCTTGTTTGTGTATCAATGACCAAAGTTCGATGTCTGATTAAAAAAAAGGTTCAGTGTTATTGTTGAAATTGTTTTGAATGTAAGTGTTCAAA